CGAAGCGTCTGTGGTAATAGCACAGATCACCCTTAGATGGAGTTCGCCTGCGCCCGTTGTTTGACCGGGAACGACAACGGGTCGTGCGGGTAGTCTGCAGATGGTTGATGGTGGTCTGTATAGTGGCCATAGCTAAGCGACGGTCGGCCAACTGCTGAGACAAAAGCTGCACATCTGTCGTAAGGGAGCTTACAAGGAGTAGGGTTGGGAAGCGTATGTTGAACGATGCTCGGGTCCGGGCTCCCGATGTTCGCCATTGAGGACTGAAAACGTTGGGCCTGCTACATGGCTTGGTCAGCAGCCTCAGCTAGTTAGTCTAAGCTATCGGCAAAAATGTTCAAAACACTCTGGACGTATGGCGGAAGCCGCTGAAGCCAAATATCGTGTAGTACGGAGTCGTCCAGCGTGATGTTGCCAACTAATGCACGCATTTGAAGCAACAAATGGGATGGCTTGAAATGTTTCAATTGGATCCCTGACAGGAGAAGCTGAATGTGCTTCTCTTCTGAAAATGCCATCCGACGAAAGAGTGCTACTTTGAGCACGTCGTACGGGTCTTGCGCAGGGATATTCATGTAAATATCCCTGGAGTTAATAAGCATGTCCCGCAGGATCGCGGACAACAGCTTATGATAACGGGACAGTTGTCCTATGATGCGAGCTCCATAGAATCACGAATCCAGAAGTGTGAGAAATGCCTCCGGATCCTCCGGCATGAACGCGGGGGCCCTGATTTGGGTTCAGAGTGCTCCACAGTCTATGGAGTACTTATGATCGGGACTGGTCATACTGAAGCATAAGTACGCAATATGCGATTGTCGAACGGGTTACAAAATTATGACCATTCAGTGATCTACATGGGGGTAAAATAAAAACGTTAGTGTTCACACAAGCCGCTTGAGACGCCTTCGATTTGTTGAAATAAGCAATCAGCAGGGTTGCAACATAAACCCACCTAAACCGCTCCGCCGCAAATATCTTCTATTACTGGTAGAGGGAAAAGATCCTTCTTTGTGATTTCATTTAACTTCCGATAAGCGACACAGCCTAATTTTTCCGTCTTTCTTTTCCACCAAAACAACAGGGGCAGCCCAGGG